GCCGACAATTATCGTGTTATCACTGTATACTAATATACCGTGAAAAAAAAAGAAAGGAGAAATATGAGAACAGGTTCTGTCAAATTATTCTACATCGTTTTTTAAATTTGTTTTTCTTACCGAACCTTTTAAAGTTCCGCATAACAGGACAGAACCTTTTCGATTCTGTATAATCGAACACAGAACTTCATACGGTTCAGTATTTAATAGGCAGAACCTTTTTGGTTTCGTATTATCGGACAGAACCTTTTAGATTCAGTGTTGTCTAAAAGAAACTTCATATGGTTCAGTATTTATGTACAGAACCTTTTCGATTCTATGTAATCAATCACAGAACTTTCGACGGTTCAGAATTTAATAGACAGAACCTTCTATGGTTTAGTATTTCTTTACAGAACCTTTCTGGTTCAGTATAGTATGATAGATGATTTTCTATGGTTCAGTATTGACGGGCAGAACCCTTAGGTGTTCCGTATTTATAATACAGAACCTTGTAGGTTCAGTACCATTCAACAAAAACTTTACATGGTTTAGCATTAGATGGCAGAACCTTTTTTGGTTCAGCATTGTTGGACAGAACTATTTATAGTTTTTCAACTGCTATGCAGAACTTTAAATGGTTCTGTAACTGCTACAGAACCAAAAAAAGTTCTGCAGAACTCCTTTTTTTTTCAGAGTAGTTTCTATTTCTAAGAAAAATCGTGGAAATCAGCCCTATCCACAACAACTTCAAGGAAACTAAAACAGTATTAGAAAACAAGAAGACAAATCTTCTCCATCAAAAGTCATCCCTTGCGTAGCTCTACATGAAATGGACTCTGCTGAATAAGTAACAATGCTCTCTTTTACTTCTGGGTCATATGTGAGGATCTTCTGTCTGAAAAACAAATGTTCGAAAAACTGCAATAGACCATATTCATCTGAAAGTGCAAGCTTAAGAATATAAATAATATGGCTTAAAATATCGGTATGATGGAAAAAGGAAGAAAGGAAAAATATCGAAAGGGAAAAATGTCGAAAATAAAAATATCGAAAACAAAATTATTACAAATGCAGATGGATAGAAATGCTGAAAACGAGAGTATATTGAAGTACATGTCTCCCTCACTCTCAATTCAATCTTACATGCTCATGTTCATCTGATATTCTTGTTTTCAACATTTTTATTTTCGATATTTTTCCTTTCTTCCTTTTTCCATCCATTCAAAATATCATCAGTTCGCGAGGAGAATCCGTTTCATAGATTTTAACACGTTCTACATTTCAGTATTATCTCATATTCAAGTGACATAAAGTTTGAAAGTATCAAGAAAAAGATAAAACGCTCAGTTGCAGACCTACAATGTCGTTACCATGAAAGAAGAACGATCATGGTCAAAAGGATTTCTTTGAAGCTCATACGAAAACGTACAGGCTTATTTATGATCTTTCTCAATATAAAAATGGAAAACAAGTAGGGAAGACAGGGTGGTTGTCACAACTTTCTTTCCAAGAGGGATGTAGCAAAAATCTCAATTTCAGAATTGAGTAGGATTTTCAGTAAATTGTTATGCATATATCCAAATAAGCCAGCTATACAGAGAAGAAATAGCACTATTCTATATCTTATATATTTCAGTATCTTGTTATGGCGCTCTCCCTAATCTTTGTCATCGGAAATATGATATAACAATGGTTGAATCATAGCTAATACAATTTGAACTAGAAAAAATAGTGAGTAGAGCTCAGTCAACATTTCGATCGTAGATGTGAAATAATCAACATCGACATGACAATCACTGGTAACCGCAAATATTCTGTTTGTCCAGGTTAACAAAAAGATTCACTTTCTCCCAATGAAACTGACATTTTTGTGTAGTTCCCATTCTTTCTGACGCCGTTAGTTGAAAGCGATCAGCTTTCCCGACAAAATATTTTTAAAATGGGGATCAATCTACTTTTTCGTAGTGATTGTAATGACTCTTGATGGTTTTAATATTGAATTTTACGTTTAATTGAAAAGAAAACAGAGAAATCTCGAAACAGAGGCATACCAAGGTGTTCAAAGCTGGGGAACCGGAAATACTTGAATCTGAACAGAAAGAGGAGAACAATATGTTTATTTATATCGATTCAGCGGCTAAATATCCTGAGAAAAGCTCTTTTATCTGTTGTGATATTCAAAACAAACAAAATTTCCTAAATCATTGAGGGAGGGGGCACGTACTCTCAGTGATACGCCGCTGCCAAAAGCACGGGGGAAGTGAGATTAGTATATTTTAGAAGTAGGGAAGAGCGTTAGACTTCTGCCCGAAAATATTGAGAACAAACATATAGTCAATTACACACGTAATAACTGAATATCGCTCAGTACTCAGTTTGTCAGTCAACCTATCTCGACTTTAGGCCATTGAAAATTAATTTCCCATATATCGTTCAATGTAGAATTGAACGGTCTATAAGATGATGCTACTTCTGTTTTGACTTTCATCTTTTAATGCGGACAATTTATCAAAATACTGGAAAAAAATTATATTTTGTCAAAAAAATCCAGTATTTTGACCTTTTGACTTCAATAACGACTCTGATGAGAAATTTCGAATATATTGTTTTGTAGAGCAAGTCAAGCTCTATCGATTGGTATATGATTCATTTTGAATAGATAAAATATTGCAAGAAAAAAACAACAAATATGAATATGAAGTTACGCTTAATTTCATTCAGAGGACAATATTCCAGTTAAGCTATTGCACCGTGAGAACGTCTTGAAATAATGCCTCATATATGAATCGATGCAGAATTAAATGGGCTACAAAATGATGTAAAATATTTTTTGGCAATCGATTTCTGACCTAGTTATTTGGCCAAAATACTGAAAAATCCACGAAAATGGAAATGCAAAAAATGAATGTTTTTTCGAATTTTTGACTTCAATATTGTGACTGAGGAGAAATGTCATATATGCCATTTTGTAGAGTAACTCACGCTCTATCCACTGGTGTATGACTCAATTTGAACAGGGAACAACTTGAAGAAAAAAAAATCACAGAAACTAAAAGTTGAACTTTTTTCATTTTTTGATCGTATTTTTTAGGGTGTCTCAGGTCGGCTGGTCCTAGCGGACCATAGGCAAATCTTTAGATCGTAATATTTTGGATTCATATATGGTACACCAAGGCCTACATTCCTACAGAGTCAGATCTCAAATCGGTTGACCCCCATGTTTTCGGAATTTTGATATTTTCATGGAACGTCTCTTAGGGAGTCCCCAGATATTATCAAGCATATCACACGGAGTGTAGTGATTTCTTCGGAATTTCCATGTCATTTAACTTTTTGTTAGTTTCTTGTGAAGCGAAACCCATTTTTCCAAATTGCTTCTTTCTAAAACGACATTCTACCTAAGCCATGTAGTTAGAGACCGGCGGTTTCCAACATACATTCTAGGATCCGACTGTGCCGATATTGATTGCACGCTTCGATGATTCTCCTTCCTCTTCCTTCTGTTCTCTTTCCATTGGTGTAATATCTCTCTCTCTTGTCTCTCTTCTATCTCTCTCCTATATATACGTGTGTTATGTATGANGGCATAGGCGACACTCTCTAGTTGTGTCGTTACACTCTGGATATGTGAATAAACGAATAAACATCATTGCCGTGAGTGGCTGTAAGCTACTCCACCTCTATCCAGTTTGTCAATACGATATAAACTCAACAGAGTCATATTTATCGTTACACCGACCGTAGAACCGTTTTTTTCAACTTTGCTAACCGGAACAGCCGGACTCTAAATGTAGTATGCCTCTTCTCAGTGGACAACTCCGGCGATTGTTAAATCATTTCAAAATGTTGCGTTATCGTTGAGAGGGCATCGGTAGAAGTCCAAATGATATTTGTCAATTGGAAAAAACTTGATGTTAAAAATAAACAATTATTTCTTCTAAATTTTGAGTTTCTTATATACTTTCATAAGCATAAGCGCAAAAGAAATCGTTGAATACACCCCTGCGTTTCCTAATAAATCCTCCTGAGATTCCCTAGGGACTCCACAGGGAGCTTTTCTTATTTTACTACTGTGTAAAATTAGGTGAACCCCCGGTGATTCTGCGAGGGAGAGTCGATTATGGATGGTTATATCATAAATAAACAGGGACATCTGTCGATGGACGACCTTCATCTCGTGTATGGAGGCTCTTCATTTTTGTCTTGATTGAGTGATTCGAAATGGCTGTTTGACCGGACCTAATAGTGTATTTTTTTGTTCTTTTTAAAGCAAAAGAATCCAAATATACTAATTAGAGAAAGAAAAATCTTAATTAATAATAATAAATTCTGTTAGTATTATGGAAGAATAAATATTAAAAAGTCGTGATTTTTAGTTAGATAACTGACTCAACAAATTTCGATTTTCAAATAGATACTTTTGTTATTTTCATCAATCAATTTATATGCAGACAGTAGTAACCGTTTTTTAACATTTAAGATATCAAGTAATAACTTACGTTCTAGATCAATAATAATGTCTATTACTAAACTATTTGATTTGATTAATTAATTGTAAAATTAATAAATATTTTGTTTTTCGACGCAATTACATTAAAAAGATGCAAAGAATTTTATTTATACTTTGTTCCTTGTTCATGAATTTAGTTCTATAATAATTTCGAAAAGAACAGATTTTTAGTAGATCTGAATTCAAAGTGCCTCATCAAAATATAAGATGTTTTCATTTGTAGATGGTTTCTACACAACTATGTTATAGAGAACTATTTAATTCTATCTGATGATAATCAGGAGAAAAAAGAGAAACCAAATTTTTCAATGAATATTTTGTTCGGAATAATGAAAAATCAGACATCAAATTTTTTATTTTTTAAAATCAATTGTTCGTTGTTTCATAGAATTTTTTTCGTTGCTCGCTCTTTCGTCGTATTATTGGTATGAATCATTCTATTGACTTGAAATTGGTTGGTTGATATAAAAAGCTGACGTGTACGCACAGTTTTTTCTTTCTCTTCTAGATGGCCATAAAATTATTTTCCATCATATTTTTTATCGAAACAGGTTTGAATTTATTTATTTATTTAAGAATTATTTTCAAAAGTAAAAAGTATATTTTTTATTGAATAGTAAATTGTCAATTTCAATGTAAATTTGATCGTCCAATATTAGGAGAATATTATTCATATGAAAATGGTCTTGAAACTCATACATCATTTAAAAAAAATGGTAATATCGATCGACTTTTTTATCGTCGTGAATCCGGCCGTGGTGCTACTGCTAATATAATAACAGTTCTTGATAATCATGCACTTGGTGAATGTGTTTATCTTAATTGGAAAGAAAATCCTTTTCGACATGTTTCCAAACATCATTATCAACTTATTTATCGAGACAAGTAACTTCAATGTTTGTTTAATTAATAAAAAATTAATAGAATATTTATTAGAACAAAATCTTGTTATCAATGTTTTGAAATATATAATCGAACACATAATATTCTTCAAATACGAAAAAGTGAATGTGATGAAGTAACATCAATATCTACAAATCAAATGAATATACAAGATCTTTGTTTAACAATTAATGAAGAAGCTGAATTTGATACTTTATTTTGTTCGTTTTTTATTTTTTTATTTCAAAATTTTTATTTTATTTTATTTTATTTTAGTAAAAACTTATTCAGCTGAAGAATGTCGTGCAACAATTTATGGAACATATCATTTTACATATGAATTTCGTGAAGGTGGTATTGGTATTTGTGATAATTCAATATCACGTTTAGTTTCTTGTCCTGATCCTGGCACTCCATTCGACGCTGTTAATGAACGTTTTTGGATGACATATGGTTATTGTCGTAATCTTGTTTCATCCATTGATGCTCAACCACTTTATCAATGTTTGGGTCATTGGTTTAATGAAAAAGGAGATATTTTTACTGCCATTGCCAATGAACGTGTTGGATCCGAACGTTGGTATGATAAATTTCGTTGTATGTTAACGCGGCAAGATCAACCACAATGGTTTGCGAAATCTTTATTTGCTGAATGTGCTCGACTTTATTCACCAACTGATGGTCCAGAAAAAGTTATTATAACACCAATTATTCCAGAAGTTCCAACTGCAACTTGTTTTTTTCCCGATAATTTTACTGGTGAATGGATTAATACAGCTAATGTTAATGCAAGAACAATTATTAATGCAACACATATACATGAAATAGCACGAGTTAATAATCGTGGTTGGTTAAGAGAAACTTATTATATTTGTCAACAAACATCTCGTAGTCAATATTTAGTTAAAGCTGTTACAACAGGAGAATGTTTTTCATATTATATTTGTTTTGATTTCAAGGATCGTCATCATAATATATTAAGATATAGAAAATCAAAATCATTCATGTCAAATGTTTATGATGACCTATCGAAAAGAGATCCACTTTATGAAGTTTGTTCATGGATTAGTTTTGGTAATGATGCCAATTGGAAATATCAAGTTTTAGCTTTGGATCCACCGGCACCTATTGAATGTCCATTTACGGGTATGTGGACATTTAAACAAGTCGGACAATCAAATTCATTAATTCAAACACGAATTCGTGGTGGAATAACACCACGACCACGTGATCATGGTTGGTATATAACATGTGATCCAAAATATATGGTGTCACAATGGACAATTTGTAAAGATGATACCAAAGCAATGTTAGCTGATCGAGAATATTGTCGACAGTCAGATCCATATGGAACACCAATTGGTGTTTACGAACAAGCCGATTATATTTATCAATGTGCTGGTTATTGGAGAGAAGATTCTCGTTCATATTTAATAACATATGATCGTGATGATCCATATATTAATTTTAAATGTTGGGTTTATGAAAGAATAGATTATGACAAAATATATCTTTCAAGATCAGCTGGATCATTTTGTGGTTTTAATCAAACATCTCAAAGTTATCAAGCAAAAGATGGCGCTGATTTAAAAATTGAACTTGAAGAAGCTGAACGCATTCGTAAGTTATTCATTTTTATGTTCCGTCTTTTTTTCTCCACAAAATTAAATATTTATTATTTAGATGATGATTGTCCAATTCGATATGATGATGGTCGAAATCCTTGGCAAATCATTGACGAATTTTTATTTTATTATGCTTCAGGATCAATAGTATTTCCTTCATATTATCTCATTATTTCAGTCATTCTCACAGTTTTCTAATCAATATTTTTTCACAGTCATTTTGATTTTGTTAATTTTCTAATTTGGTAGTCAGTTGTTTATGTAAACATTCCACTTGAATTTTTGAAAAATTTAATCAGTAATATTTCACTTTTGTGAATAAACATAAATTTCATTTGTAGATATGTTAACAAAGTTCGAATCGAAATCAGCACGCGTGAAAGGTTTATCCTTTCATAGTAAACGGCCATGGATATTAGCATCACTTCATTCAGGTATAATTCAATTATGGGATTATCGTATGAAAACATTAATTGATAAATTTGATGAACACGATGGTCCAGTACGTGGAATACATTTTCATAGTGCTCAACCATTATTTGTTAGTGGAGGTGACGATTATAAAATAAAAGTTTGGAATTATAAAACACGTAAATGTTTATTTACACTATTGGGTCATCTTGATTATATTCGTACGACATTTTTTCATCATGAATATCCATGGATTATATCAGCGAGTGATGATCAAACAATTCGTATATGGAATTGGCAATCAAGGCAATGCGTTTGTGTTATGACTGGACACAATCATTATGTTATGTGTGCACAATTTCATCCAACTGATGATCTTGTTGTATCAGCATCACTTGATCAAACTGTTCGAGTTTGGGATATTTCTGGTTTAAGAAAAAAAAATGTTTATTCAACGCCGGATACCATTCAATCACAAATTCAACGTACTACAGGAACACCAGATTTATTTGGACAAGTTAGTTTAATTTTATTGATTTTTTCCATATTTTCTTAGGAGACAAAGAAAAACTGATCATCTTGACAATATCATATAGATACTTGGTCACTTTACTGAAAATTCATAAAAATCAAAATCTGATGAGAGTTGTTTTTTAGTAAATCATTTATCAATAGGCTAAACTTCGAGACATAGAATTAATCTACAAAATAATGAATAAGTTTTAAACTAAAATGAGATTAGTAATAATTTAAAAACTTATTTATTAGTGTTTTTTAATTAAAGAAATATACAAATTTATCGTATGTTACATTGTAGGGTAGAGTAAAGATTGGAAACGTTATAAGGTTTTTTCTTTCTATTCAAAATACGACCAAAAAATACATTTATCCTCCGTATTTCTATTTTATCCAATGTCGAGCAATTTTATAGTTGTTGATGTATCCATTCGATTCTGTTTCATATCTTATTTATTTGCATCTCTATGCATTCAAGATAACAAATATTTTCTTCGAAATATAATTAATTTTTTCTAATAATAATATTTAGGCTGATGCAATTGTAAAACATGTATTAGAAGGGCATGATCGAGGTGTTAATTGGGCAACATTTCATCCCACATTACCTTTAATTGTAACAGCAGCTGATGACCGTGTTGTTAAATTATGGCGTATGAATGAAAATAAGGCTTGGGAAGTTGATACATGTCGTGGACACTATAATAATGTATCTTGTGTTATTTTTCATGCAAGACAAGATTTAATTCTATCAAATGGCGAAGATAAATCAATTCGGGTTTGGGATATGACTAAACGGTTTGTTTTATTTTTAACTAAAGTTTATTGAAGTTGTTTTTCTCCTTGTTTTCTAATGGTTTTTAGAGTAGCAATAAATACATTTCGACGTGAAAATGATCGATTTTGGATTTTAACAATTCATCCAACATTAAATTTATTCGCTGCTGGTTTGCTATTGAATTTTGGTTTAAATTATTATTCAGAAAAAAAAGAAAACCATTTATTTTCTAGGTCATGATAATGGAATGCTTGTGTTTAAATTAGAACGTGAACGTCCAGTTTATGCTGTTGTTGGAAATCTTGTTTATTATGTTAAAGAAAAATATTTACGACGATTAGAAATAACAACATCAAAAGATGTTCCACTTATGCAATTACGAAGGTAAATCAATTTTATTTCTTCTTTGATTTCAGAAAAAATATTCGATTTCTTTTTAATTTTCTTAAAAACTCTAGTGGTCCACGTGCACCCTATTACTCGATGTCATATAATCCAGCTGAAAATGCTATTCTATTAACTACACGTGTACCCGCTCAACCGGATACTTCAATTTACGATCTTTACACTATTCCAAAAGACGCTGGTGAATCAAATAGTTCAACACAAAGTCCAGATGGTAACATTTATTCTTTCCTAAGATAAGATTAAAAAGAAAGAAACAAGAATCATTGCTTCCTAGTTATTAATATCAAAAATTTCATCGATTAGCAATTTTCTTTTTGTGTTATGGCAATTTAGATTTCTTCTACTCGATTCTAGAATAGTTTTATTTAAGATTTATTAACTATCGAGAATTTAATAATTTTATTTTTCATAGTATAGATAAGAATGATTTACATTATATTCAAAGCTAATCTGTATTGTAATAAATAAAGTTGTGATTAAAGTACTTCGCTGGGTTTTGTAGGCAAATTGAAATTGTTCTTAATTGATGAAATTTACAAATGTAGAATTCAATTAAGGATTCACCTTAAAACAAAGAGCACATGAAAATAAAATAAAAATGATGATAAAATTGATGTGAATGACATTTGAAAAATGCAAAGCTATCTTATCTAAATTATTTATATGTTGCATTTTGTTTTTCAGCTCCTGAAGGTCGTCGTTCATCTGGTTTAAATGCTGTATGGGTTGCTCGAAATCGTTTTGCTGTTCTTGACAAAAATCATGTTGTAAGTTCACAATTCTTTTCTTATTTTGTGTTTTTAATTAACATTTTTCTTAGATTTTAATAAAAAATAATAAAAATGAAATAACAAAAAAAATTCAATTGGCAAATTGTGATGAAATCTTTTATGCCGGTACTGGTCTTTTATTAATACGCGAAAATGACCATATTAGTTTATATGATGCACAACAAAAACGTTCATTAGCAAGTGTTAGAGTAGGCAAAGCTAAATATGCAATATGGTCAAACGATATGAATTATTTATCATTATTAGCTAAACATCAACTTGTTATTTGTAATAGAAAACTTGAACAATTATGTATTATTCAAGAAAATGTGCCAGTGAAATCAGGTGCTTGGGATGATTCAGGTGTTTTTATTTATACAACATCAAATCATATTAAATATGCACTTGTCAATGGTGATCATGGAATTATTCGTACACTTGATTTACCCATTTATGTAACAAAAATAAAAGGAAATAGTGTATTTTGTTTGGATAGAGAAGTTCGACCAAGATTATTAACTATTGATTCAACAGAATATAAATTTAAGTTGGCTTTAATTAATCGAAAATATGATGAAGTACGTAACAAGATTAACAACTTGCTTTTCTTTTATCATTTTGATTATTTTTGACTTCATTTATTTTGAATTAATTTCGAAAATCACATTTTATTTAAACAAATATGAAAGTTAAGAGCATGAATATTGTTAATACGTAAATTCTATCTTAGAGATGATCGACTAATATATTTGAAGAAAAAAAGTCAATTGAAAATTGAATATTTGCTAGCATTATTTAAATATAACTATTAAAGGAACAAATTTGAAATGAATGAAGATGAAATTATTTAATGTACTCATATATGCTAGTTTTTCTTTTTTTATTCAATGGAAAAACATTTAATTATAATTAGATTACTACTTTTTTTAAATTTATTTTCAAAATTTGTTCAGGTACTTCATATGGTTCGAACGGCAAAATTAGTTGGACAAAGTATCATTGCGTATCTTCAAAAGAAAGGCTATCCAGAAGTAGCACTTCATTTTGTCAAAGATGAAAAAACAAGATTTGGATTGGCACTTGAATGTGGAAATATTGATGTAAAGACAAAAGAAACAACTTGTTTTTTATTTTATTTTTATTTTCCATCGTTTAGATTGCATTAGAAGCTGCACGAGCTTTAGATGATAAACGTTGTTGGGAAAAATTAGCTGAAATAGCTCTTTTGCAAGGAAATCATCAAATTGTTGAAATGGCTTATCAACGAACGAAAAATTTTGATAAATTAGCTTTTCTTTATTTAATTACTGGAAATTTTGAAAAATTAAAAAAAATGATGAAAATTGGTTAGAAATTGTTTTTTTTTGTCGATTTTTATTATTTATTTTACAAAACAAATTCATTTAGCTGAAGTACGAAAAGATGTTAGTGGACAATTTCAAATTGCAATGTTATTAGGAGATGTGGAAGAACGTGTTAAACTTCTTAGACAATGCAATCAAAGTAAAACTTTCGTGTATTATTCGTATGAAACAAAACAGAAATAAATTTATTTCTACTCTATAGAATCGCTTGCTTATGTTATGGCAGCAACACATGGTCTTGATGAACAAGCTGAACAATTAAAAGAATCTCTTGATGAAAAAGTAATTTATTATACTCAAATTAATTCTTATGTTGACGCGTCTCTTAATCAAACGTTGAATCATAGAAATTACTAACCGTAGTAGCAGATCTCGATTCTTCTTTCATCTCTAAACATCGTTGAACTTACAAAATTGTCAATAGATCGTCTCTTGATCCTCATCGTTTTCCAGGAGAACTAATTTAGGCGAGTTTTCTACTAAGATAAGCATATCATTCATCCGCAGATTGTACTCATCTGTTGCTTAGAGAGACGTTTATAATATTCCTTAACGACGCTTCTTAAATATGCTCTATAAAACAATGTTACTATTAATTGAATATATTTTTCTATCACATTTCTTTAATCATTATTTAGAAGACAAAAGATATCCGATTAAAACCTCGATTAAGAACTTGAATAGAAAATGAAGTATTCAAATTGAACGATATAAAAATGAATACTTTTTCATCTGTTACTTCGTTCATGTAAAAAAGATATCTTCTAAACTTATGGACTGAATTAGGTTCTTTTTCAGTTCTACTAGTTATAAACCAAAAATATAATCACAAATACTTTTGTTCAAAATCAAGATTTGCGAGCAAAATATATCATTCTCTAATCAATTGATCTATGCATTCGCTTTCATATTCAGAAATAGATTCGGTAAAAAAGAATACTAGTCCTTTTTTTATAATTATAGTTAATAATCTGGATACAAACTAGGACAAAAAATTAATTAATAAAAAAAACACAACACAATAGATAGAAATTGCATTTTAGGTTCCTGAAGTAAATCCAAATGCTGAATTAATTTTTCCACCATGTCCAATAAGTCAACAAGAATCAAATTGGCCATTATTAGCTGTATCAAAAGGATTCTTTGAAGGTGTAACAATCAAAGGAAATCAAGGAACAACAACAACAACAACAACAGCCATTCTAGGATCAACTACATCATCGAAACTTGATGCAACTATTAATATCGATGAAACAGAATCTAGTGGTGGCTTTTGGGCTGACGAAGAAGGACAAATCGAACTTGGTGAAGATGATGTTGATAGAAAAAATCCTCAAACTAATCAAGATGAACAAGGTGAAGGCTGGGGTGATACAGATATTGAATTACCAGCTGATCTGGTATGTTATTTATTTCATCAATATCAAATAAACAAAAAGAATAACAATAATATGTGATTTGTTTTTGTTCAATAAATAGGAATCAGCTGGTGCAATTGGCGGAGCAGGCGATGAAGAGGATGCAGGTGGATATTTTGTAGCACCAACAAAAGGTCAATCAGTTCCACAAGCTTGGACGCAAAATTCTAAATTAACTATTGATCATGTTCTAAGTGGTTCATTTGAATCAGCAATGCGTTTATTACATGATCAAGTTGGAATTGTTTGTTTTGATGAATATAAACAATTATTTCTTCAAATGTATTCACGTTCACGTACAGCTTTTACTGCACTTCCATCCTTGCCGGCATTATATGCGTATCCATTAAGAAATTGGTTTGAATTTAATTTATTGTAAAAAACAAAACAATAAAAATTTCTAATTCTTTTTAGGCGTGATGCTCATTCACCAAAATTATTCTATCCAGCTGTTGGATTAAAATTAGAAGAATTAGTAGCACGTCTACAAGTAGCTTATCGATTAACTACTAATGGAAAATTTCAAGAAGCTGTGGAAAAATTTCGTTCAATATTATTATCTGTTCCATTACTTGTTGTTGAATCACGTCAAGATATTCTTGAAAGTCAACAATTAATTGAAATATGTAAAGAATATATTGTTGGATTACAAATGTCAATGGCTAAAAAAGATTTAGCTAAAGACGATGAAAAACGTTCATGTGAATTAGCAGCATATTTTACTCATTTACAATTACAACCAATACATAAAATAATGACATTAAAATCTGCACTTAATCAAGCATTTAAATTAAAAAATTATAAAATTGCTACAAGTTTTGCTAAACGCTTATTAGAATTAGGACCAACACCTGATGTTTCTCAACAGGTTTGAATTTATATTTTTTCGATATTTTATTACGAGTCGATAGACTTTTGTTGTTTTCTATATAAACATAAATTTTAGAATTCAAGTATTTTTCAATGAAATGAAATTAATGAAACTTTTTAATTGAGCGTTTAGATCGAATGAAAGACCATATTTAACGATGACTACTTATTGTCATCGATGCAATTCCATATTGAGCAAATATTAAATCAGAAAAAATATTTAAAAAAAAGGAAAATCACCCGATTAATATATCGTTAAATTCGCAATTGTAATTTCATATCTAATAACAACGACCACAGTTGATATCAGTCACAATAAATCTCAGTAATAATCATGTCAAGAAAGTTTTGCTAAATTTTTTTGTTATTATCCATGAACAACTTTATCCATTAGCATTGTTTGAGATTATTTTCTTACAAAAAAATAAAACAAGATAGCTGAATTTTTCTTCTCGTTATGAATCTATTCGATGATCTTTCGTTTTTTCAACATATTTTATTAAAAACCATTGAGTATTTAGTTTATTTAATGAATTATAGTTCTAGATATAAATGATTTAAATCCTTTTTTTTGTCTTAAAATATTTCATTTTATTTAGACACGAAAATTATTGAGTGTTTGTGAAAAAAATCCAGTAGATGAACATCCATTAAATTATGATGAATATAATCCATTTGATATATGTGCTGCATCCTATGTGCCAATTTATCGGTACGCATTAACAAATGAAAAAACATTTAATTAAACTTATTTTTTATTTTTGTTTAGTGGAAATCCATTAGTAAAATGTCCATTATCTGGGGCAGCTTATCTACCGGAATTCAAAGGACAATTATGTCGTGTTACAAAAGCAACAGAAATTGGAAAAGAATCTCTTGGTCTTAGGATTTCAATGAGTCAATTTCGTTAATATAAAATAAAAGAACGTTTTTTTTTATCTTAATTTTATTTCATTATTATTAACTTGTAATGGATATATTTATCATTTTTAAAAGATTAATCGATCATTAGAAAAATATTCTTTTATTTCAAGATCATTCGATCATTGTTGATGTTATTATTGTTGTTGTTCATTCGTCAATTTTTTTGCTTTAAAAAACAAAATCAACTAAAATTTAATTAATCATCATAAAATTAATCGAAATATTTTACTTTTTGTCATATAAAAGAAATCGAAAAGGTATCGCTTCTTTTTCATGTGGATCATTTAGCATAGAAGTCTGATTTAGTTAAGAATTTGCAGAGACGTACTTTTCTAAAAAAAATAAAATAAAGAATCATTTTTTCTGTTTTAAATAGTTTTGAAATAGTTCTACTATATAGATAAATAATATATAGCTATAAAAGCAATGTCAATACAATTATAAAACGTTTAACGAACAGATAAGAGCATCGTGCTAAAGTTTCATTTAATGTTCAACATGCAAAAATTCTCGATTGAGTATTTTAATTCTATTATAATCAGTTATTTTTTTCGTTCTTAAGAACTGCATAATTATTTCTCATAAAAAATAAAATTAATAACTTTATCAAATTTAAATGAGAATTCATAGTAAACAATACTTTTGTTGTTAGCGAATTGTTGTGATTCATGAAATATTGACCTATTATATATATAGTAATCTATTCATAGGTACGCACAATAATTTTTTTGTTTTTCTTAATTTAAATAAATATCTTTAGATTAAAAATAACTAATAAAAACTACAATGAAAACTTTTACAAACAGAAAACAAATTCTGATTAATTTAAAAAATAAATAAAACCATAAATAATATGTTTATCTTATTATTCAACTAAACAGGTTATAGAAATGTTAATTATACAGAGATTATACTATAAAAGAAAATCATTTATTAAAATCATAGAAGGAAACTGACTTCTCAACAGATTTTATTCTCATAAATAAAATTAAAACAACTCAAATTTATAAAATCAAAGATTAAATTCCATCATAAAAAGAATTAAAATTAATTTACCTTTTAATTTATTTTCTATAGATTAAATTAAAACGAAAATGGAAAATAATAATAATAATAATAATAATAATAATAGTGATGACGACGGCGATGATTTTCCATTCAACGGTTTATTTTCTCCGATTGAAAAAATTTTTGCTGATTTCGATCGATTTTTTTCTGGCTTTTCAACAGTATTTTCGGTACCTCCACAAGACTTTAACAATAATAATTCTCAAACATCAACAAGTTTAAGAGATGAGGTTCTCAAAAAAGATATTCAAAGTAATTTTTAAAAAACTTTTTCTCAAAACGAAAATTACTTTTTCTTCTTCAATTTATTTTCAAAAGATAATCATTATGGTGATGAAAATCTTGATTCTACTATTGAAGAACATGGTATTAATGGAGCATTTTCAAGAACAGTTTCAAGTTCATCAATGATGACAACGATGAAACGAGAAACAACACCATCGAGAAGATGTGTCATCGAAAGAAAAAGTCAACATTCATCAAATCAAAATAAAAATAGCAAAACTGAAACTATAAGTAAAATATGTGGAGATAAATATCATACAACAATAAAGCAAGATGGAAAAATAATTCGAGAGTATGGAAATTCAACAATAGATGAATTAGATCAAATTGATTCAACACCGAATGATAATAATAATGATCAGCCGATTGTTGCTGGAAAAAGACATTCAGACTTTTTTAAAAAACTTTTCTCATAAATAGAACTTCTTCAACCAATGATTTACTAAAAACAAAAAATAAACAAAAATAATATTAGTTTACTTTTCTTTTTTACTTTGAAAAGCACCTATTTGTCTTTCCTTTTTTTACTTAATATATTCTATTTTTTCCGCATTGTTAAAACTGAGTTTCTTTTCCGATTGAGAATAAACTTGTCGACAACAACATCATTTCCCTCAACAACGACAGAAAAAAGGTGTCACTCCAGATTGGACGAGCATCCGACAATTACAACAACTGAAAAGTTTTTTTTCTCGATTCTTTATTTAAGATTCACTACATGAGAATATTATCTTAATCTGGCCATTGGTTCCATAGAAATGATCTACAAATATTTCAATAGCAATTCTGCTGCCTATAAGGTAACTTGATAGGACATGTTGGATGATATATTAGTATCATTCGTCGAAGAAGAAAAAAGAAGAAAACTTTTCTTGACATTCCTTTAAAAAAAGGAAAGAAAACTGTCACTAACCGAAGACTTTCCTTTTCTTACTATTCTCATTAGTCATGGGGTAACATCGTTAAATAGGACACAAACGGAAGCGAAGAAAGCATTGTGAAAGTTGAGAAAGTTATTTTTCTCTCTTTCTTCTGGATCTTCTTTTTCTTTTATTTTCACTGATTCATTAAAAAGGATTGGCTAAACTAGAAAACAAGATTCTCTCCTCTTTTTTTCTTTCATCATCAAAAGAAGGCTATAGGGAACAACAAGAAAACGTTGATGATTAAGGACTATTGCCTATGAAAGCGAAGTAAAGCACATCATTTAAGTGCCCTATCGAGAATCAAAAACGGAGTTCAACTTTCAATTGTATTGTTAAAGAGAAATACAACGACGAATGGGCATTGATTTTTTTAGATTGTTTCTTGTTTCTATTCTCAATGACTAACTTGTTTAATGATATCGACTGGTGGAAATCCCGACAAACGACTAGAACTTATTCAAAAGACATATCATCTTCAAACAACAAACAACAATATTGAAAATTCTCCACCAGATCGTTCTTTAGTTGCCAAAGTGTCTAGTCATCAACCATCTCGTAAAACGTCTGTTCACGACGTACATGAAGCTCACAATGATCAATTTAACAAAGTAAAATTTTGATCTAACTAACTATTGATTTGATTCGTTTCTATTTAATATAGACAGTAGGAGAAATACATGAAAATCTTGCTCGTATAAATGGCATATTAGAAACAATGACTAGCGCTGCTTCAATTCGAGATGAATTTGGAAAAATAAAACTTCAATTAATTGTTAAAATAGCTGATTTTATCTATAAATTAACAAATGATTCTGCAAGAAGGTTAATCTTGTTCTATTTAATTAACTTTAATCGAAAAAATTCAATTGTTGATATTTTAGATCATCGAATAATTTAAAGAATAGTTCAACTAATTTAACATATAATCCTCAACACATTGCTTATTGTATTGAATATTTTCGAAATCAACTAATAAAAGCTAAATATCTATTTTCATCATTAACTTTATCAGCTTCAATTGGTTCATCAACTCTTGATAATATTGTTGTTAAATCTCTTTCTACAATAAATCTTCAACAAACATCATCAAATGGTCAAGATGTACAAAGTATTGAAGATATTACTGGAATAAAAAAGTATTCATTCATATATCATGAAAATGACTGATTGAAATGGATTGATTTTTTGTTTTCTTTTTTTAATTTAGAGATATCTTAAATTTAGAAGAGTATATTTATTTACTTAATCAACGTTATGCAAATCATATCGTCGATTGGCAAACATTAGGTTTGTTTCTTTTTTTTAGTTTGTTCCCATAGTAATATCTTTCTTTTTTTTTCTTTTTTTTTTTCTAAGTAGAAGATGTGGCAGGGGGAACGACAACGATGACAGGAGAGGAAAAATTACTAACTACTAATGTTGGATTTAATATTCAACGATTAGGAGTAACCCCAGCAGCGCAAAAACTATCAGCAACATCATCGACAACATCAATTGAACGTTCAAGTTTCTGTGCACGACTTCATCAAAAATGCCAAATCGTTTGTTGTATTTGTACACCTAATTATTTGTAACATTTCAGCTTTTTTTCTTTCATCTGTGAATTGAAAATTTTTAATCGATGCAGGCATCATTATTTTTTTTTTTCTTTTATATTGTGATCTTTTATTTTTATTTTCTTTACGATGATCAAATCAAAAAAAATGATGATCACTTTTTTATCTGAAACAAGAAAAATATTTGGCGCGGAAGATTTTTTTTATTTAGATGTATTCCTTTTTTTTTCTTTGTATTTCTCAGTCTAATTAATCAAATGGACGATTCTTCAGATGACAGATCATTCAGATTAACAGATTTTCATGCTTTTTATTAAGAAAATGAAATATAGTCTTTTTTTTATTACAAATATTTCTAATTGAATAAAGAATCTCGTCATTCTTTCTATATAATCATATTGAATTTTTCAACATAGATGCTTTCATTGTACATGTTCTGAACCATGCCACATAAATATATTTCTTAGTAGAATAGGTGCGTGAAACTAATATTTCCGTCTTAGATTTTAACGATGATGTTTTATAAAAGACAAAGAAAAATAGCTCATAATAATTTCTTCAAGTCTTTGATTATGCATATCATTTACGGCGTGTAAAATGAGAAAGAAAACAACACTTCCGTATCGATCTTAGGTATTCTTCAAAACGACATGCATGTTTAGAAAATTAGAAAATAAATCTTTGCATTTTCATAATATGTCACTGGATTTTTTCAAGTCACGAGAATATGTAGTTAGAACATGAAAATGATGTTTAATAAAACGAAGAAAATCTTTGAACTACTATTAGATTCGATTAAGAATTGGAGTTGTCTTTTTCTGTGATGTTAAAGAATATCTACATGTTGTATTTACTCGAGTCATGATTAAATGTCTAGTATATGGAAAGGATTCAATTAAAAAAGAAAGAAAAAATATTTTGAATTTTGCCAAAGAATTAAAAGTCATTTTCTTTTGATAATAATTAGTTAATCAAGAAAAAATATTTATTATAGAATTTCAATGATCAGAAATACATAACAAAATGATCGATGAAAATTAATTATATCAACTTATGTCGATCATTTTGTTAAATATATATTTTGTTTTCATCAAACAAAAACAAAACAATTCATCAAAAAACATGTATTTTCAACAGAAAAATATAGTACATTGAAGTTTTCTGTTAAATTCACTAGAATAATTATTTAAATTCAAAGGCAAAAACTAGTAGATTCTAATCAAATAAATACAAACACTGATAAATGAAATGTTGGTTATAATCAAAGCCAAAACCAAAACTATTCCATTCAAATCATGTTTTATGGAAAACTAACTCATGCAAAAAAAGGCTTACTACTTACATTCAATATAAGGAAACAGATCATATCAATAGTTGCGTTTTATTTTTAAACAGCTGTTTTCTGGCTTCCGCTCTCGAAATTACTTTTGTTACGCATATCAATAAACTAAGAAAGAAACAAACAAAGTCTAAATCTCTACTCAAGCGAATATTGAGTATAAGAGAGGTTTGACTATCCAAAATGCAATATAATCGATAGAATTCGTTTCAGTAGTTAAGTAGTCATGTTAAAAATCGTTTTAGACTTGCAAAGCATCCTGATGAATTGCTTTATTTAGAAAATGAGATTAGCAAAATTAATATTTCAGATATGAATAACTACTCTACATTGAGTCATATACCATCATATAAGGGAGTTTTCAGCTGTTAATTATCGACATCGATACTTTTTTTATACCTAAAGATATGCACTTTTGACATTCATACAATCTCATCGATTGTTTTGCCCATTGAAAACGATGCTTAGATGTTGAAAATGAGTTTTTGCTTTAAATCGTGATCCATGCATAAAATGGAAGGTGAATATAAGATTTGCGTGTCGTTATAAGTAGTGGACAATATTCCCCAACACACACACACACACATTCTCAGGTTTTAGCTTTCATAGAAAGTTCCACCAACAGCTAATGCTCTTATAAATCTATCATTTCGAATTATATCTCTAACATAGCGACAAAGCAGATCGATAAATGTTATCATAATAATTATGAATACAGTAAACCGAGATCTTATTATTATTATTGTTATTATCAAAGACAAGAAAATATTACGTTTATTCAAGTTTATAAAGTTTAAGAGCCGATGGTTTCTCAGTTCTAATAGCCGCATAAGAGCCATTTGGAGCAAGACAAATATTTCGAATATTTTTAATTTTTGTTTCTTTAATTAATCTTGTTTTTCCTTGTTGATCAACGAGCCAAATTTTATTTGTATACCAATTAACAAATAACCAACGTTGATCATGAAGCGAAATAAGCATTGAAAAAAATTTATGTTGATTTTCTCCTGAATCCATTGATATTCCGCGTCTTATTCTTTTCATATCACGTGACATTATATCTAATCTCCATTTTAAATCATCTTGTTGCATTATTGATAAACAAATATGTTGCGAATCACATCGAGCATCGCGAATTCCAATATCTTTTGTTTCACAACAATCAGCTTTTAAATAACGTTTTTCTAATGACCATTGAGATGTTGATGAAACACGATATTGATCGATATGAACACCTTTATGATAATTTATATAAATATCACGTTCAAACGATGATATTGATGCTAGTACATGTGAACGATCTAATGGTTTTATTGCTTCGACTTTAACTGGAAGATTTGGTTGTGGTTTTGTTGGATCATATAGATAAACAGAATGTATTGTTAATATCACAAATACAGATAATGATGACATCCAACACATATCAACAAGAATACCTTAACAATAAAAACAAGACAATTATCTTTTCAATGAAAACAAAAGTATCTTGCATAACAAAAACTCCAAATTATATCAAGTCTTAAATCTTATTCAAGAATATTGAAAAGTATACACATGCATATAGATATCCATTGTTAAGTTTAGTAAAAACTCTTTATTGGAACTAGAAGATTTTGTTGCAAAAACGAGAATTAGTAATGAGCTATTTTATTTTACTATTCTATCACCAATAAAAAGTAAATTGATTATTTTTCTTGAATGATTTTTCAACTCACATATTTCTAAGTATAAATTTAATGATCAATATAAATAACATCGGCGAGAATTCCTGTTTTTTCAATTCTTAGAATACTATAGATATAGCCACTCAGATAATTGACCTATACATTTATTCTTTATCTTATTCCAAAATGGAAAGCTGCATAAATATGATGTAAATTTCAAAAAAAGACAAGAAAATTCTAAGAAACAAACCGTAGTCATTATCATTCCATTGAAGTTCAGTTAATTTTCTATGATAATCAAATAGAATTAATTTGTGGCTATCGTGAACAAGAATATGAGTATTTGAAAGTGATAATGTTGATGAATTTGTATCTAACGAATAGTGTTTAATAGGTTCAGGATTTATAGTAAATAAATCAATAATATCAATTGCGTTTTCTTTTCGTTTTTTTTTCGCTGGTGATTCTTCTTCTTTTTTATTACTATTATCACCATCATCATCACTTAAATCTTCAAATAAATCTTTTCGTTGTTCAGCTAAATGATTTGATAAACTTGTTTTTGTTATTTTTATTGGAATCGATAAACTTTTTATATCAGGTAATTGAACGCGAATCCATTGACGATCACGCATCATGTTACATTCGGATTTTATATGACATAATAAATTCTAAATCAGAAATACTATTACGAATAACAATCTATACAATGATTATTAAATACTTAACTTATCAAGACATACAAATAGGATATACTCGGTAACTAATCAAAATAAATAAATTTTCATAATGACAGATAATGCTCATTTATTAGGCAATTCTTTATACTACACAATAAATTTCAATCTTAACTATATTCTCTTTTCTTTGATGACTTAAAGAGATGATTCTGTGGATTTGAAAACGTACAATTCATTTGATTAAATCCATTGTTCTTAACCTATACTAGATATTATCAGATAAACTCGACACAATCATCTTGTCATAGTCAATTGACATTCGTCTCTTAAAATTTACAGTAAATTACGCCTTCAAATTGATTTCATTAAGATAATTACTCTACTGTTGATTCAAAAACAAATATTTGGCTCTGTTTGAAGATCTATGCATTATAACAACGTCGGAGATAACGAATATGAACTCTATTAAAGAGTCAGTTGACAAAGATTGAGTCTGCCGAGGGAATTATGCGAACCAGTCAGCTGATGTTCAGCTCATATTTTAAGTATATAGATCTCTCCTATAGATAGTTTTACTAAATCTTTATCATTGCACGAGATATTAACTGAAACTTTTCAGCTAAAAACTAGAGAGATCTATAGACTCGATTTCTTCTCACATTATGGAGTCCAAAGGTTCTATTATAAAACCCATATTGTGAACTCAAAATAAATTTGATTAATTATCGTGATTACCTCATCAATAGACAAAAAAAAACAAGAACAAACCTGCATTTTTTCGACTTTTTCTGGGTCAGGTATGGGATCATCAAGAACTTTACTAATTCGTGGCATAATACGACTTTTAAGCTGTTCAATCATTTTTTGTTTAAATTTATCTGATTCTGGACAAACATCTTGAGTATAAACTTGAGCTAAATCTGCTAGACGTTGTGAATAAATTTGACCTAAATGTGATACAGCAGCTGAATGCCATGATTCAAGTTCTTGTTGGCATTTCTTTTGTATAAGAGAAAAATCAAGTCTTTCTAATGTACGTAATTGTTCTTGAGCAATATCAGATAATTCAAGTAATGAATCTGATGACCAACCATTTGCATTATTTTCTTTATCTTTTGTAATGAATGACATTTTATTCTTTCGAATAATTTTCCTTAATTATTCAACATTGACAAAAAATCTGAATTACCGCTTGAACAAAGAAACATAGTTTTTTAGCCATATTTATTAAATCAATTTGAATAGAGGCGTTCGTATAAATGCATAAACATGTTTCGTGTCGCCACAATCGTTTATTCTAATTGGAAAGAAAACTGATTGTCAAAAAGAACGGAAAATATGATTGTGAGGTAGATTAAACGAATATAATTTTGATAAAAAAATTAACTTTCTATAAAATAAAAAAGTTAAAAAATGAGTACTTATTCACCAAAAGAATCAAATTGGAATTCAACAAAAAAACATACGCTTTCATCGAATGGAGAATACTCATCTCCAACAAAACGTTCTCGTCCATCGCTTTCACAACGTTTAGGACTTGCCGATGAATCGGATCCATCCGATGATGAACCTTATAGCCCAACAGATAATAATTCATTTGACACGCAACAAAGAATCATTCGACAACCACAAGCATCACTAAGAGAATCAACATTAATAGCAAGTGGACAACCTTCAAAAGCTATTTTAGAATTATTGAAAGATGACGATGAAGATGAAGAAGAAGAAGAAATAGAAGTAAAAACTAATTTGTGGTTTTTCATCTTTTTTTGCTAAATTTAATTTCACATTTTCAATAAATATTTTAGGACGAAGCTTATAGTCCATCACAGTTAGATCCAGCTACGATGGATGAAGTTAGCCATCAATTAAAAGGATTAAATCAACCATTAAGATCAATACCTATTCCTGTGTCTCAACCTGCGACTTATATTCCTCCCATTTCTTCTGCTTCATCGTTACCTTTAAATACTCATCAACAAGATATGGATTATAGAGAAAAAAAGAAATTGAGGTAATGTATTTTTTTGTCCATTAAATTTAATTTCTATTTATGACTTTTTTTTTAGTGATAATACAATAAAACATGAATTAAATCAAAATAGTTGTCGTATTATTCCAATTCATGGTGAATGTACAGGTGTTGATCCTCGTCTTCGTATTCATTCAGCTCGTCTACGTTTAAAAGTTCGTCAATTAGTTTTAGAACGTCTTTCAACAAATGATTTAATTGATCGAAATGAAATTCTTGAAGAACTTGATCACCTTGTTGAATCACATGGAAGAAGACTTTATTGGTACAGAGTTATTTGTTTTTTACAAAATATATCTCTGACAAATAATACACCAAAACAAATTCACTATTACTTAAAAGAAGTTTCAAAATTACTTGTTCTAACACCAAACATTTCGAAAATATTGAAAATAAAACAAAAATATCCTAAAACAATCCCAATCGATACAAATGAAATACAAACAATTAATGATCCAAGATCAAAAACATTTACAATGAATAACATTCATCTTAAACCTCTTCGATACAAATGATTATGTATTTAGATCCTGTTTTCAATAAAAGAGAAAAAAAAGAAATTTTTATGAAAATAAATAAAGTTTTTACGCTTCTTTCTATAAACAATGAAATGATTGAATTTTATTTCTTGTATATTAGTTTATTTTTATCTCTAACTACGGATTAGAGGATAGCTTTCAAACTTATTACTTCTTTTGTTTTAAAGAAATTTTGTTTTGTTTTTTTTGTTGTTGAAAATAAACAATATGACTTTGACTGAGTTTAGTGCAGTGAATAAAACACAAAAAATGAAATACCTTCTCTGATTATTTTTGCCCAAAATTTAAAATAATAATCGATTGAAATTTAAATTCATTATTACATATCAAAAGGGATTTTTGTTTGTACTAATAAAAATATAAATGATAATTATGCTTAGATTAGTCATGGTTCTTCACATTTAAAGTTTGAATAAAATATTGTTATTAGTTTTTCTTGTATAAAATCAATTTTTAAGTTTGACTAATTAAATCAGAACTGAACGAGGAAAATTGATAAAAAAAAAGATTTATATTTGCTTATTCGTAAATATTGACATGATATATTATCGATTTAAAAAACTGTTTTCTTTCCTATATAATTAGTTCTTTTTGTGTACTCAAAAAAAAAGAGTACACTATAATCGGTCAGTGTGTCCAGCCGTCCGGCTGTCCGTTTATTCGATAACTCTTCACAATTACATTTGATTGAGCTGAAATTTTGTGCACAGAATGGTCTCATCAATATCTAGGTCGAGTTCGAAGATGAGAAGGATCTGTAAAGAAATGGCTGAGTTATCGAAAAAATTGTCATTTTTGATCAGACCATCCCTGTGGAGGGCTACAGGGATTTTTCAAAAAAAACTTTTTTTCTCAGAATTATCCACAACATATATAAATCGACTCAGTTTTTAACGCTGATTCCGAATCTGGTATTAGTTTTGCACTAAACCGTAGCTTTCTGATGAAACATCGCTTGAAAAACGTCTCAAAATGCACAAAAACTGCATCCAGAAATCAAATTGCCTAGTTTCTCATGATAATTTTGGTGTTCAGACATTCTAGAATGACTCATATGTCCCATGCACTTTTTGCAGTACACATAACTCTCGGATGAAATCCGAAGTTTCCACATTTTTTTATTCGTTATTCAAACATCATGTATTCTTAAAATGTTCCATTGAATATAAAATTAGTTTTATCTATCATAATACATATGCTATATTATAATATCCTATTATTAGTAAAAAGATACAACAACACTCTTTTTTCATACAAAAATTTATTTTAATTTAAATTTCAAATAATTATAATCGTACCATAAGTTGATACGTTATTTTCCCAATAGTATCATGATAAGCATAGGTGCGTATGCTTTTAGGAGAAAAGATTCATTAAAAATACTCAAAATTCTATAAACTTTTTATATATGAAACGGTTCAAAATCAACCATTTTATACTTTGAATATTATTTATATCTGTATGGATATATAAAAAGAAACTTTTTTATATCTAATAATTATTGCCAAATTTATGGATCAAAATAAGTTTCAATATGTATTATATCAAAACTAATTTGGTTACTAAATAATAAAATAAAGATAATTATTGTTTTACATTATTTGCGTCTAATGATCGACTTACGTTAGTAGAAGAATTCAAATACAATCGAGATTCTTTGCTGTAACGATCTAATTTGCACCATCTAACATTTAAATGTAACAATGACACGATGATATCACACGTGAACCTGACACGGATGAATCCTGATATTGGAGTCACCAAGCAGTTGAACTTTTGACCATTGCTTTTTTATTAACATGAGAGATTTTGACATTTAAATTTTTGGATATTTGAACTTCAGTAAATTATCAAAGTAAAACTTTATTCTACAAAAAAAGACAGTATATAATAGAAAAAGGAAACTTGAAATAAAACAAGTTTCGCTTGATTAAAATATTCTTTTCATTTAATATAAATGCAAATGAATGTACATATAATTCATCATTGATTTCGAATGAATTTACATATTGTCCGTTCAAATTCAAGTATCATAAACGATATATTATTTTGAAGTTCAATCATGTGAATGTTATGCATTTCAGACATCAATGTTTATATATAGTAAATCAACTGTAACGACAAATTTCGTCTAGAAATATATAAATTTATCGCAAAATAATTAATTATTTTATTTAAGAAAACAACGGATATTCATATAGCTAATC